TTGCAGGGCTTATACTTTAATCACTGTACCTTTTAATTTCTGTTTAACTAATCTCATTTTTGCATAGTTCCCCTTTTTGAAATTAAATGCCACAGTGTTGGGCTGCTGAGGTGTTCTTCTCACCACAGGAATGCTAAATGTTATTATATTATGGTCACTATTCCCAAGCAGTACTGTTATAGTTAACTCTTGGATCAGATCCTGCGTGCCAATCAGGACTAAATCGAGAATTGCCTCTCCTCATGTGGGTTCCTGTACCAGCTGCTCCAAGAAGCAGTTGTTTAAGGTATCAAGAAATTTTGTCTCTGCATCTTGTCCTGAGGTGACATGTCAATATGGGGAGAGTTGAAATCCCCTGCTATTATTGAGTTCTTTATTTTGATAGCCTCTCTAATCTCCCTTAGCATTTCATAGTCACTGTTACTGTCCTGGTCGATAATAGATCCCTACTCTTATATTCTTATTAGAGCAGAAAATTACTATCCATAGAGATTCTATGGAACATGTTGATTCATTTAAGATTTTTACTTCATTTGATTGTAAATTTTCTTTCATGTATAGTGCCACTCCCCCATTACTAATACCTGCCTTTTCCTAATGACTGGAGTTCCCTCCCCCAGAGAGGAACCTGAGGATATCCCAACATCTGGCAGGTGGGTCCCAACTATGGGAAAGTTTCCCTTTGCTCTCGTTGACTGCTCTCCTTCCCTGAGCCTTTCATATTCCTTAACAGCGCAGGGGCTATCTGACTGGAGGTGGGACAATTCTACAGTGTCCCAGAAAGCCTCATCAACATATCTCTCTGCCTCCTTCAGCTCCTCTAGTTCAGCCACCCTAGCCTCCAAAGCCCGTACACAGTCTCTGAGGGCCAGGAGCTCCTTGCACCAAATGCACACATATACCATCCGCCCACAGGGCAGGTAATCATACATGCTACACTGAGTGCAATAAACAGGATAGCCCCCCACTCTGCTTCTGGGCTTCTGTCTGCATTCTGTCCTACAGCTACCTAGATTATTGATAGGGTATTTAGTTAAATCAGGAAGTTTTGATTAAAACTTTAAACTAAACTATGAAGAATGGCAAATCTACCTCGGCCCCTTCCCACTCCCCTTCCAAACTCCCTCTCAAAACTCCTTATTTGCTTTCCCTGGTCGCTGATTCACTGTTTTATAAAGCCCTGGACTTCCTGATAGTCCAGCCCTCTAAATAAGGCTCAGCCAATGAACAGAGGCATCTAGATTTCAAACCTTTAGAAGCTCACAGCTTCCAACTGCTGGCCACAGTACATGCTCCTTCAAACAAACAAACCAAACACAAGCTCAGCATATAGCAAGCTCAGCATATAACACACAAACACACACTACAGACAACCACTTATCTCAAGGGTCCTGTATTTCCTCCTCCTTTACCTGGAGAACTCCTTCTCAAAACTCCTTGTTTGCTGTCCCTGTTTGCAAAGCTGACTGCAAAGAGTTACAAATGGGTCTCTGAAAACTGGGTGATTGGGTAACATAAGGGCAGATGGAATCCAGTGTTGTTAAATGCAAAGTAAGACACCTGCAAAAACATATAACTACGTATAAAAATAATGGGTAGTTGCCTGAAAACGTCTACTCAATATGCTGTGGCAATCTATAAACAAGAAAGCTAACAGACTATTGGGAATCATTAGGAAAGGAACAGATAAATATATTGAGGCAATATGATATGTTCTGTCTTAAGTCATTATATGTCCACATCTTGAATACTGCATGCAGATCTGGTTACCCCATCTAAAAAAAGATAAATTGGATTTGGAGATGGTCCAGAAAGGGCAACAGAAATGATTAGGGGTAAGGAACAACTTCCATATGAAGAGAGGTTAGCAAGACTAGTACTGTTCAGCTTGGAAAAAAAATGACAAAAGGGTGGGGGGATATGTTACAGGTCTAGAAAATCATGAATGGTGTAGAAAAATAGAATAAGAAAATGTTATTCATTCCTTCACTAACATAACTCAAGAAGCTGAGACAATTAAATGTATAGGCAGGAGATTTAAAACATACAAAACAAATTATTTCTTCACAGTCAACATGTGGAACTCTTTGCCAGGAGAAGATGGAAAGGCCCACAGTATAGCCATTCTGATCTTATATAGAGGTCAAAAGTATCTGCCCCCAGCTTTAATCCACTAGACCCTAGTCCACTTCTAGAGCTGAGATAGAGCCCAAGAGTCCTGAAGTCACTCTCTCCCCATTAAGTTAGTAACAAAATAAGACTATTGTGGCAGAGTTCTAGGCTGTGCCCTGTGGGTCCTGTGCTCCTTAGGCAGTAATTATATGCTTCAGAGACTCGCTGTGACTCTCTACGCTGTCTCTGATGCTTTTCTAGAGGTCAGAGTTGCAGCTTATTGAGCCATTTCCATCCTTGGCAAAGTCAATGAATGGGGAGGGAGAAATCCCTCCATAAATCCTGGGCCTTCTTTTTCCAGAATTAGTTATTTCTGTGGTGCAGGAACCCAGGCCCACTCACTACTCCAGGTTCTGGCCCAAGAACCCTAGGCAGAGGTAACTGCTCAGGGTCTTTCACTCTAGTCCTAAGACAGCAGCTTTTTACCTGGGCTGCTTCTCCAACTAGTACCTTTTCTCTGGTACTTGACTGAATCTTTCTCTTCTCAGCTTCTCCGCAAACACACTTCTTCCACTCAGTCCATCCCTCTTCTTCCTCCTGTCTTACCTTAGGGAAATCTTTTATAGCAGCTCCCCTAGCTCTTGGAAAGAGGTGATGTATGTGGGAGAGCAAATGGGATTGGTCCCCCCAGTTTGCTCCTTGGCTTGTACTGAGCATGCTCAGTAAGAGTGCTGAAGCTGCTGTCCTCAGTCAGCCCCCTTACCTCCACCATATGCACAGGTTGCCCCCACTCATAGTCAAAATCTGAAACAGCAACCCTATAGACAGAATACCAGAGCTGATCGCTCTCCTTTTTTCCTTTAGGTTTAATCTGTTAGAAATAGCCATCAGCTCACAAAAGAAAATTTTAAAAGATTCAGCAAAGTCTGCAAATAAGCCTGTGTATTAAAAGATATTAAAAAGCTGATGCGTGGATAACTCCTGCTAGGGACTATTGTCTGACCTCCTCCTACAGTTTTAATTTTCCTTCTCCCATTTTCATTGCTCTGGACCATTCTTCAAAGCAGATCAATGGGCATGCTACTAGTAAACATGAAAAAAGAATGCAAGATCCAAAAATCTTTCCCAGACTCCACTTGTTTTTTGGAAATGACTTGCCTTCCCCGGCAATGCCTTTGTCTTCCTCTCATTTTTCACTTATCATTGAGCCAATGCAAGTCTTTTTATTTAGGAAAAAATTTAAGAGCCTGATTCTTATCTTACTCTGGTTTCATGCCTGTGTGCATGCATTGACTTAAATTGAGTCACTTCTGATTCTCCCTAGTGTGAAAGGAACATCAGGTTCAAAACCTTCCTGGTCTGATTCTATTCAGTCATTTCAGTGTGTAAATCAAGGGTAACCCTGTTGAAGCCTGTGGAGCTACACTGGGGTAAAATTAATCCAAGGCCTCGTTTTTTAAATGGACATTATTTCAAGCTGAGTCTGTGGTCAATGGGTTTTAAGTGCATGCTTAAAGTTAAGCCTTTGCTTTAGTGCTTTGCTGAATCTGGATCTAAAAGAGGTCATACTCAGATCCTATGTGTTCAGGTATTTAGGATTCCTGATGTCTGAATTGTTTCATAGAAAGTGAAAATTAGAAGCTGAGCTCCTGGTTGATAATGATGATAAGTTCCTGGCTAATGGTACAGTTTTGTGGTGTTGAAAGCAAAGATAGTTTTACCTTTATGCCCCACAATGTAGCGCAGCAAATACTAATTTATTCATGCCACATCATTCCCTCAGTACAACAGAGAATTAAATCAACAGCGTTCATAGACAGTGTGGTCCAGTGGTTGTGGTTCTGGGCCAGGAGTAAGGAGAGCTAGGTACTATTCCTGGTTTTGCCAATGACTTTGTGCAAGTAACCCCTTGGTTCTGCTTCCCTTCCCGCTCTGTCTCTCTCTCGTCTGTTTAGACTGTAAACTCTTCATGGCAGAATTCACCTCTTGCTACATGTGTTTTCAGTGCCTTGTGTAATGGGGGTCTGTATGAGCCCGCCAGCCAGGGTAGAAACATCTCTTGAGCTGTTTGGGAAGCTCATTCCCAGTGGCACTGCAGACATACCCTTAAGGGGGAAGGGGCACTAGGCTAGCCAGCCCTGGTCTGTTAGCCCTGCCTGTGCCATAGCTAGCTGCTGCCCAGCCCAAGAGGACTGGACACATTAGCATCAGGTGACACGGAATCATTTGGGCCTCCTGGGAGAGCTGAGATAACTCCATTTGCAGGAAGATCTACAGGGAACAAGTTGGGCTTTGTGGGAAGAGTTGAAAGACTCCAGGAATGGAGCCAGCATGCTATGGGTAGCTCCATGGGGAGCTGAGACTGTGAAGGGACTGCAGGAAAGCATGTTCTGTGCCAGAGCAGGGAGCCTTAAAAGGATTCCAGATAGTGCTGAGAAGAGGAACTAAGGTGAGGCAAAAGTACTTTTAGATTGTTTGGACTGAACTTTGAAAGTGACCTTGCTGGATGACTGAACCATGTGGATTCCCTGGGGGAGGCACAAAACCCCAGTGACAAGAAAGTGGTGCAGAGTGCCGGCAAGAGCCATGCTTGGCCAGCAGGGAGTGCTATGGGGAAGCCAGGACCTATAACTGACTCTGGTCTGTGTCTAACATCAAATGGCTACCACAATGCAAATAGGAAACCACTACACTATAAAAACTAGTAGTGAACAGATGTGGAGGCAACCAGTTTATTTAAAAGGTTTCTGTTGTACTTGCTACTCTTTAGTGTTAAAAGGAGTAGTGACTTTCTATAACAACCACTAATTCTATTAAATGTTTTGCTGGGCTCAATAATAAAAAAAGTGAAAAATATTTCCTTTTTTCTGAAATATCTGTCACTCCAGGTACTGCAGCTGGGCTCTGAAATCCTTCCACAATACAAACAAGAGGCACCAAAGACTCCTCCACATATCATTCTACATTATTGTGTTTTCAAGACCACCTGGGACTGGATCATCCTGATTTTAACCTTCTACACTGCTATTTTGGTCCCATACAATGTCTCCTTTAAAACTAAACAGAACAATGTGGCCTGGCTGGTGGTAGATAGCATTGTAGATGTTATATTTTTAGTGGATATTGTACTTAATTTCCATACCACCTTCGTCGGGCCAGCTGGAGAGGTGATCTCTGACCCAAAGCTGATCCGCATGAACTACCTGAAGACCTGGTTCGTGATTGATCTGCTTTCATGCTTGCCGTATGATGTCATCAATGCCTTTGAGAATGTTGATGAGGTTAGTACACCAGCCTCATTTCCAGTACTCTTATTTTTGTTTTTTAATCCTTCCCCTCCTAAAAAAAGAAGAAATTGATACTTGTAAATATTCTGGCTTAGTGTATGAGCATGTCTCCCTTTAGTGGTCCACAGCAATTGTTGCTGCATATTCATATCTATGCAACATAATGTAGATACTGTCTTGCACGTACCACCTCCAATACCAGGACTGGCCCTAAATGTGTTGCCACGTAGGCTGGAAAACCATTTTGGTCCTTGCCCTGGGCAGACTAGCCAAATGTGTTCCCTTCCCTCCCCAAAATGGACAAGTACTCCTGGAAGTTAGTGCTCAGGGCAAGTGCCCTGATTGCTGACCCTGTTGTCTCCTATTGGCGACTGAATAACATACCATTGGCAATTTGTGACAAATTTTATAGGGCAAGTAAGATCAGGAAATTGTTCACTGTTCTTATGCACTGTCTTTGATGTGCAGCTAGAAAGGAGGCAGGCAGCCTGCATGATATGGCTAGCAAGCTCTCTGCAGACTACAGTTGTCCATGCACCATGGCTTGAAAGACATGGCACAGCAAACGTTTACCAGAAACTACCTTTCTGCAGCTTGGCTTAATGACTTAATGCCTAGGAGAAGGGCCCGAAGAGAAATCATGGAACTTTCCCTCCATCCTTGTTCCCCTTTTTCAGGGCCAGCCATAAGCCAGCTGAGGAGCAAGACACTTCCTTGGGCTAATTCCAAGGAGGTAGATTGTAGCTTTAACAGTTTTACTTCTAGGCATTTAGACTAGATTGCACATAACAAAAATGGATCATCTTATATATTAGAGATATGTACAAATTGTTTATAAAGGGTGGTTAAATAACTAATGGATAGCTCAGTACATTGTTAGTTTGTAAATATGAGTCTAACAGGTTGCTTATAATCAACTATAACATCATGTAGCAATGTGCTATAACTAGCTGCAACAATGCTTGTAGTAATGCGCTCATGATGAAGTTAACAGGATTACTCAACATATTATGTGTCCGAGCCACATCCTCCCCCTTCCCTTATTTAGTGGGACTCACTCCCACCTTCTGTTGTGATGCAAGTTCTCAGTTTGCAATCCTGTGAACGGTTATTTTTGTTGCACTGAGAGACCCTTTTAGAAAACTACTCATGCCTGTCACATGCTTCTAATATCTATTAATTGTTTATTCATCCTTTATAAAAAGAACCTTAATGTAAAGTGTAACCTATCTATCCTGATTTCATGACAGATTTCTTAATTTCACTGGACACTAGTTTTCAAGCTAATACCATAAAACAACATAACTTCTTGTATGATTACATAAAATAGCCATGGGAAACAAAGAATCATTCATCTCATTAGATCCATGTAAAATATTAGTTTTCCCCCTTTGACTGGGGATAGGAAGGAAAACTATTAAGTGCAAAGAAGCAGATGTAATGGTATCTGAGATTTAATTCCCTTAAGGTAGTTTTTGTTTTTCATACAGCTGCAGACTGAAATAACACAGGTGAAATCACCCCTAAAACCTTGTAAATCCTGTTCTTAAATATTCGTTTGTCACAAATTCTGGCAAAGGGAAGACTTCTGTGCAAGACGCTGACATTTTGCTGTAGTGGATAATCATGGTACTGATAAAGCAATAGAAAGATTGGTCACATGATCAGTAGCTGCCATCTACAGTAGAGTTTATAAATGTATGTGGTGTCTACAGTAGAGTTAAAAACCCCAAAATAAATAACTAGATGAATTTCTTTACATTCCTAGAACAGTAGCAAATCATCGCTGACCTGCTGGAGAAGCCCTGGATAACCTTAGTCTGCTTCTGGTAGGGTGACAAACAGAACACGCCCAGGTGTGAATGGCTAGAGGCCATCACGCAGAAATGAAAAGCCTGAAAGTGAGCTCAGATATGTACATAGTTACTGCAATGATTTTATGGCATGATTATGATTGTTATACTTGGAACTTGGTTCTCCAGAGTCATAGGATAAAGCTGTCATTCACAGGGGAACAATTGCTTCATACCATGTGATTATCCTATGCTTCTTCAACAGTTTTTAATCAGAAAAATATGTTCTTACTCGTCATTCTAGCTATCACATTCAAGCTAAGAAAACATCTTTCTTGATATTGTTGTTGTAATGCTGTTCACCACTACTTCCCTGAATGGGGCCAGATCCTTAGTTGGCATAAATCAATGTAAATTGAGTAGGAAGCTATGACAATTTACACCACCTGAAGATTTGGGCCAGTGTGTGTTGTTCATTTCATTATGAACTGTTTCAGAGGAGAGCTAAACACAGTCCATCTCTTTGAAGGGCCAAATTTAGAAAGTCTGAGTCTAAGAGTCTCAGAGGCGTAGCTGTGTTAATCTGTATCTGTAAAAAGAAAAAGGAATCCTGTGATACCTTAAAGACTAATGCATTTATTTGGGCATAAGCATTTGTGGCTCAAAACCATCCGATGCATAGACTCCATGCATCTGACAAACTGGTTTTGACCCCTGAAACCTTATGCCCCAAAACATCTGTTAGTTTTTAAGGTGCTATAGGAAACCTTGTTAAATCTGGAGAGAGATCCTAAGTTGCAGTAATTCATACATCTCTTCTACATGATGGCTGTGTCTAGACTGCATCCCTTTTCCGTAAAAGGGATGCAAATTAGACATATCGCAATTGCAAATGAAGTGGGAATTTAAATCTCCCCCGCTTCATTAGCATAAAAATGGCTGCTGCTTTTTTCCGGCTCAGAGCTTTGCCAGAAAAAAGCGCCAGTCTAGACGCGGATCTTTTGGAAAATAAAGCCTTTTCCGAAAGATCCCTCTTGTGCAAAAACCCCCGCTCTCCATCCACACATGCCTTTTTGTGAAAGAGCTCTTGCGCAAAAAGGCATCTTCCTCGTAGAAAGAGGAATACCAATTGTGCAAAACCCCCTCTGTTCTTTCAAAGTTTTTGTGCAAAAATGCGCTTGAGGTGTGGACGCTCTGTGAGTTTTGGCTGAAAAACGGCCGTTTTTCTGACAAAACTCTGTAGTGTAGACATAGCCCAAGGATCCTGAACCCTTCAGGGGAGAGAGGCCTCCCATGTCCTTCACTTTAACAGACAGCTCTTTCTCTTTCCCCCTTTGCATCTTCTTCCTGCATCTTGGTAACTTCTAAATTAATGAAGTAATTTTAACTCTCTTGAGCCTATTTTCAATCAGTTTGGCCTGGTTCCCCTATCCAGGCATGTAAGGGGCAGCCAATAGAAGTTGCAGTGATCAGTGTGCTGGGCCCTCTTAAAGCTGCAGGCACCCTGGACAAGCCTTATGGCAGAAATCTGGCCTGAGAGCAGTACCGTCACTATGTGGCTCTCTCTTCCACTGGAATTGCCATTCATGGTGGAGGCTCAAGCTCCCTGAAGCCCTCCTGGGTTTTCCAGGGAGCAGCTCCAAGGGTCCCAGGACCACCCCAGGGGGGACCAAAAGGCACGCCCTGATTTGGTCTGGACCGGAGATTGTGGCTCTCCTCGAGGAGGAGTGACTTCGAAAGCCCCAGGCCAAGCAGTGCAATGCCAAGATTTATTCTCAGATGGCCGAATCCCTGGCAGAGTGAGGTCACCCAGCCCAGACCATGGATCAGGTCTAGAGCACAGTAAAAGAACTCCGCCAGGTGTATGGGAGGGCCACCAAGTGCAGCGCGTGCTCAGGGGCAGGACCCCATACCTGCCCCTACTATGCAGAGCTCCATCATATCCTGGGGGGTGGGGAAAAGTCTTCCTCACCCATCTTGGTGGACTTCGGGATCAAGACCCCTGTAATCACCCTGCTAGAGATCACCCCGGAGAAGGAATAGCAGGAAGGTCACGGCCAGTCTGCCGCGCTGGAGGAGGAGGAGCAGGAGATGGGAACCATGACCCTCTCCCTCAAGCCAGTAGCTGCCAGCCAGGACGGTGTCTGGGAGGGATCTTCAGGTAAGTTGTCACACACACACAGTAGGGGAGGCAGGTGCACAGGGAGCAGAGGAGGGGAGAGGAGTGTTGCTTGGGCTGCAGGAGGGTGTGGCATATAGACGCAGCAGGCAGCCCCTGAATATGCCCGGGATCCTGCTGCCGGGCTCGGGGAGGCCATACACGTCCTGCCCCCAGGAGAGGGGGTGCCCCCAGTTGGAAGCAGGCTAGCCACAAGGGTGCAGGCACGACCCCACACAGACTGAGGAGTGCCGCACACAGCACACGGGCATGCCTGCACATGCGAGGCAGCAGCTGCTCCCACAGACAGCCCAGCGAGCCATAACTGTATGTGCAGACCCAAGGGAGGGCCAGGCTGCTCCTGGATCCTCTGCCACCCACGAGGAGATCCCACTGTGGCAGTACACTTCTCTTGCCTGCCTGTCAGTGGTGTGTGTGTGTGTGCGCGCGCCGGGGGGAGGGGACAGGGGAGAGGAAGTGGGCAGTACGGTCCTCTGGGTGTGTCAGGGCCCCATGAGACAGGGCCTGCTGTGCAGGCCACACATGGCCTTGCACCTGGGACATCCCCCTCCTGTGGGCTGCAGGCTGTTGGTCACTGCTCACAGAGGAGGGCAAGGCCTCAGGGAATGTGTCTGCAGGGATGACTGACCGCCTCTCCCTCTTGTGTGTTCTCCACAGCTGGACCTTGTGGGACAGAGGGCCGAGGCACCTGCCAGAGTCTGGGGCAGCTGCAGATAGGCCAGGGTTCAGGAGGACGTGATGCACCAGCATGTCTGCATTCTCCGGGACATCCAGCACACCCTGGCGTGCAGAGTCAATCAGGACGTGGAGGGACTGGGACCAATTGATGTCACGTTGTGACACCATGTATGGCAGCATGTTCCATGTGGCGGGACACCCACCTGATGCCTCTGCTCTGGGCTTCCACCCTCCTGTCCCTCCTGCTATGGCCATTGCCCATCCGTCTGCCCAACCTGCAATGCCTCTCATCCCTCGCCACGCCTCTGCTCCCTCCCGTAGCAATGCCCAGGCCCCCTCCCCAA